TGCAGGCCAGCTAGGAAGCAGTCTGAGTTTTACGGAGATAATGTGACACCAAAATCACACAACATGACCAAATCACAGATTCTTCTAAAATAAAGATATTCTATCTCAACAACAAGTTTCAATGGTCCTACCAGAATCCTGGTATCATATTTCATACACACAATGTTTTTAAAAGTCAGTTTGTCGTGAATAGATCGAAAACAAAATGACGAAACTATAATTACATAAAATAAATATTTTTTACAACATTGCTCATCAGTGCACATGTAAAAGACTGAGTTTATCTGAAAATGTCCAACTTAGACCTTTTAAATACTTCAGTTTTTATTGATTTCAAGCTGGAACAATTTTACTGAAGGAATGAAGCAGTCTATCATCTACTCGCACTGGAAAACAACTGACAAGTATTTTATTTCCGATGACAGACCTTCCCAGTGATCTATAACATCACTGGATCCATGCTGCATATGTATATATGTACTGTAGCTGCTGTTGCTTTTCTAATGCGCATAGCAAGTTGCGGTCACGATTTGTTTTCAGCTCTAACAATCAGGAGTCAAAAAACAGAAGCGATGACGGGTTGAAAGGAAAAATAGACAATGCCACTAAGGCAATAGGCTAAAACAATAGGCTTGAAACAAAAAATGCTTGTTCTCTCTCCTCCCCTACTACCTTCCATGGTGTAACTGCAGAGGTGGTATATGCATATCATGTGGGACAGCTTCATGCGTGCAATCCAATTCAACTTTATTGCTGATACACTTAGAAAATAGCATGCAACTTCACCGGGTAACAAACCTGATGATCATTGAAAACTGTCAGTTATGCAATATTTGTATGTGTGAGCTACTGCTTAAATGTTGCTTGTAAAATATGTACCATGCAGGCCTACACACACTCAATTGTCATGGCTTATTTGATATAAGATATAGATTGCAAACCATTTCATGGCTACCAGTTATTTTAGAATACTAGGGCTTAGTCTTTTCCACGAAACGAAATGTTAACCCTAACCTTGAATTTTGAACGACTTCAAACATCGCCCCGTCACAGAAATAAATTTGTCGCGAATATTTAGTTTCCACCTCTTTTCCGCCTACTCTGCAACTCGATTCATTTGTGCTGACATGACGTGACAGCCATTTTGGAATTGTTGAACACTGATGGTGCTATTCATTTCGTGTTTCACAGTGTGAAATTTTCTCAGATATTATTAGGCCAATGAAAAAAAAATGCGGGTTAGGGTTAGGTTTAGGGTTTCGTTTCTTTTTCGTTTTGTTTCATGGAAAAGACTAAGCCAAAGACTAGTAGTTTGACAACATTCATTCAACATTTCTCGACAGTCTTCATGACTCGTCTTCTTAAAGTTTCCATTGAAATATTTGCTGCTATGAAATTTCATGTTTTCCATGACTCAAAAAATTTGCAGTTTACAACAAAACAAATGTGACACTGCATCACCAATATCAAGACAGAGCTTTACATGGTTGAAAACCTGTGATGTTGTGCGTAATTATAATATCATACATGTGCACTTACCTCCAACTTTCTGTCAATGTTTTTATTCAACTCAAAGAAATCTGCTAATTTTTTATGCCACCAGTAATAGACATCTCGGCTGTCATCATCATCTTCATTATCATCATCATTTAGGAAATACCTGCAAACATACGGGGTTATACATGTACATTGCTGAAAGCGTCTTATCACACCTAGTTGAAAGTGATGCTGTAGTATTTAATTAACGCTTAGATCTCTACACAATAAACCTGTACAATTTGTAATCAGGACCAATGGGAAATTATATCAATGATGTCGAAATCTAGCAAAGAAATTATTGAAAGATACATAAAAATGTAGGAAATACTGCACCTAGATGTACGCATTCAAAGGGTTCATGAAGTAGCAGCAGTGATATTTTTCAATGTTTCCGTCAATTACATAATGTTATTTGTGATAGAACCAAACCACATAAACAGACATGCCTTAATCTTTAGATTGTAACATTTTGTACATTTCTATGTGTTTTTATGTGATTTCTTTTATACGAAAAGTTATTCCATTTTACTTACATATGTCTGACAGCTTTACTTAAAGATCTATGATAGAAATCTAGTCTGCCTTCTCCACTGTCACCAAATGGTCTTAAAAATGGCTTCAGTGCTCGGTACACAGTAGCCCACTTAAATGGTGCTAGGGGTTGTTTGAACTGATTGACCACATCAGATTCTTTGCCACTTGCACCTTGGGATAAAACAAGCAATGCTACATTAGACTATTGTACATGACTGTGGATGACTGGACCATACATCATATATTACTTATATAGCAAGTAGGATAATTGATCACCAACCAAACTTTAATTTGTGAAGGTGAAAATTGTCAACTATAATGAATAACAAGGCTTGATAATTTAAGCAATATTTGTTGGTTGAGTGATGCATGAAATTGAATGTAAAAACAGGAAAACGTCATAGTAGTGTAGTAGCATCAAAGCAACAAATTCCACACTTATTAATATGCAGTGCTATACACATTTTAAGAGGGTCACTTTTGACGAAATAAAGATATAACCATATTCCTCCCTGAATTTCAACATTAAACTACAAAAAGAGAAATTGAACTTTAAAATCAAATCATTTATTTTTGCAGCAGACATTCTAACAGCATCTTTCATGCATGCAGAAAGATCTCAAAATGAAAGTCACCTATTCAATGGTGCATTTTTGAGGATAAATTACTGTAAAGGGGGTAATTATTCACTGGGTTTTAATTTAGCTTATTTCGCTGACTGGAAAAATGCGCTAAATTAAAACACAGTGAATATGTAAAATTTAGCATAGAACACATTATCTAAATGACGAAACCGTGAATTTAAAACCCACTGAATATGCCTGAAATGGTAAATCAGTGAAATTTAAACCCAGTGAAAATTAGTCATTTTACAGTATATGGTGTATATCTTTAAACACAAAATACTGTTATAAATCTTTTTTTAGTATTGCTATTTTAGTCCACTATTAAACGTAAAGTAACTAAATTAAATCAATGTGTATAATAACAAATATAGAACTTAATGTTTTCCAGTCAAGTTTATAGACTTAAAACCTAGTGAAATTGTTTTAAGCATAAGAATAATGAAATTAAATGCCAGTGAAAAAAAATGGTTTTGTAGTAAATTGTGTTTGTTTACATGTACTGTAAAATACTTTATTTTAGCTGGAATTAATTTTCGCTGAAAAAAAATATTTTTGGTGTTTTGTATGGAATTTATTTTCACTGATTTCTGATGAGTTGAATGTAAAATATAGGTATTCGCTGGATTTTATTTTCACTGAATCATTCCTTCAGCGAAAATAGCGAAAATTAATTCCAAGCGAAAATAAATATTTTACAGTATTTCATGCAGTGCATGAAACCCATTGTTTTTAAATGAATAAATTACAAATGCCATGCAGGAAAAAAAATGGACAAACACATGGTTACACAAATATAGCAAAACTTTTTAATTTGTACATGTACATGTACATCATCTTATACCGCAATGTTATTCCCATATACAAGTGACATGTATGTTCATATATGCATGCTAGTAAAGACTTTGACACATGTAAAAATGATTGGAAATCAACTAAACTACCGGATAATCAGTATAGTAAAAAAGCTTTGCAAAGTACTTTCAACTATTGGTGTCTCAAAGTATCGGGAGTAATATTCATTCATATCAATTTTATGTTTGAGAATTTTTGTCGGCTTTTTGCAACCATCATTTTGAGTTTGTTATTCTTACCACCGGCAATTGAATTTTTGACATGTGTTCTAGTTTTAAGCTTGCCATGTTTGAGCTTGCATTTCTGTAGTAATGTATTTCACTGTATTGTAGCAGTATTTCATCCTGTACATAGTCTTGTTCAATGTCAATTAATTCAATGTGAATTTTGAGCATTTTAAAATAAACATATCAAATTTTCAGTCTTACCCTTTTCCTCTTCATTGTGATCTGGAGGCATCAAGTTATCTTCATCTCCAAGAATATATAGTAATTCTGTTTCTAACAATCCTGTTGCTGAACATTCTAAGACACATAGTGTAGCCACCAACAACTGACCACCATTCTCCTCCTCAAATCGCTTCAAAACTTGAGCCAATAAACTAAAATATGCAGAAAAAGACGTTAATGTTTGTCATATAAATGCATATAATTATACAAAGAAAATAATGCATTAGCCCCCCCTCCCCCAAAGTTTTTTGCTTCTCATGTTCATGCATGTCAGTTGTCAACTTGTGCCTCACACACTTTTTACTCAGTTTCACAAACTGGTGAAGTGCACCATGTATGGCAGAATGAAGAAATTTTCTGTTTCAAAAAAATGTTTTGAGGTCTCAAATCAACCTTTAATGCAAGTATTTGAAAGCATTATTTAATAAATATATTTACAACTTTTTGTTGTGGTATTAAATAATCTTTAAAATTAAAAACGTATCACCAATCATTTTTCTGGGATAAGAAGCTATCATGCAATAAAAAAAAATGGTTCATTTTGACTTACAGCTGTTTTAGAGAGGTGACCAGTTATGTTTTATAAAAAAAGAATAGAAAAATAATAGTGATAACAAATTCTTTATTTCATAACAAAAGAATAAAAAAAGTTTTCACTATGCTAACAGTTAAGACCTAAACACCTACTGTCAACCAGTTAACTACTGATAGCCAGTTAACTACTGATAGCCAGTTAACTAATGATAGCCAGTTAACTACTGCCAATAACTTATCATACCCCAATGAGTCTGTTAACTGGAATTAATGGCTATCTTTGTGGCGAAGGTCTGGTAAAGTTTTGAAGTACAAACCACAGAGGACTTTTACATGACCTAGGCTTCAAAAGTCGCTGTTAATTTCTGTTAATGTAGAAGTAGTATGATATGGATGTGTTATGGGTATGATAACAAAGTTGAATTGCAAATTAGATGAGTTTTAGATTTTTTTTCTGAAGCATGGGTTGTGTATTGTCATATCCTATGTGTTACATACTGACAACACGAAAACTGTCTGCTATTGAAAATTTGGGCACAAGAAAAGGAGTAGTATAATGAGTTAACCAATGATAACTATATAGTTTATAACCAATAATAACTAGTTAACCAATTATAACCAGTTATAACTACTGGCAGTGAGTTAATAATAATGAAGATATCAACTGATAACCAGTTAACTACTGGTAACTGCAAATACTTACTCTAATAGACCATCAGCTAATGTGTTTATTTTATCATTGATTTTATCAAACACCCCATATACCCGAAGCTCCTCGCATGCAACAGCTAACCACAAAGGATTCTGGGAAGACTCTTTAGCTAATAGATTATTCATCTGTTCTTTGTCAAGTCTCTTGTTGTACCTGCCTAACATTGCTGAAACAATCTCCTACAGACAAAACATAGTGAAAGTAATGATACCTTGCTTTTTTCAAAAATGGCTTTGCGTGTGGTGAAGACAAATCTATTTAAAGGCTCCAGAAGTTTTTACCAGTGATTCAGGTTAACAATGTATGTCACCTTTAAATATATCGGACCAAGTGTCTGCAAATTTAAGGAGCTCTCTTCTGATGGGATTTGTCAACCAATTAGAATGTACCAGACAAGAGAGTGTCTGTAACAGAAGTTCTGATTGGTTGCTAAACTTATAAGAGCAAATTGCAACTTTCATACTAGGAATTGATCAGATGTAGGTAGACGTAATATACACAGATATCAACAATCTGATCAACAGAAGCAGATGGAAATTCAGCTTGAAAACATTTCAGGAAATTAAGATCCTGTGACCTATGACACCATGTCTGAGTGAAAACATTTGTACAGAAGCTCAGTCGCAAAACAAGAATGTAGATATTGTTGTTATGACAACCACCATGTGTTAAAATGACATACCATTCTTGAGTCCATATCCAATGGCGTAACCGGCACTTCCTTTGTATCAGCATCTCTAGCTTGTAGCATCTTGTGAGGAGCAGAGTTGTTGATCATAGACAAGATAACACGGATCTGTGGAGATAACTTCTTAGGTATCCAGCTTACGACTCTGGCTTGCTGCTCCTCATCAAACTGAGAATAGAGGAAGTGTAATTAATAACAAAACTTCAATGACAGCTTTCAATTGTGAAACCATTGAATGTCATCATTTTTTCCCAAAACAATTTGGGTACAATATTTTGCGTCTTTTTTCACAATTTTTGTTGGATTTCTTTATTAATTTTGAACCCAATGAGCATAATTCCCTAAAGGTTACAACATTTTACAGAACAATATGGAAACAATCACGTCACTTAATTTATTGAATGGTGACTAAAGTCAACTCAAAAGCATTAACAAGTGATATTAGAGAACTTATCACAGAAACACCTTAAAATAAAGCAAATGTAACAGTAACTGCAAATCAGCAAAAACTATGAAGAAATTGTTCCACTGAATTCTTGCCCAATAGAAGGTAACATTTGTTTTACATGTTTTCAAGAACTAGTCGATTGTATAAAATCATGTCCACCTATTAATATTTAGAGCAATGTTGTCAGACATGCCCATGATGATTGGAAAAAATGTAAACTAAGGATATCATGGTGTGCCACTTTTATAAAGCTACTTTTATAATTTTCAAAAAATAGATAAATTGTTGATTTGCTATGTTGATGTTCAAGGACGTCTTGATATTTTTATCCATTTTAAAGTACATGAATAAATACTGTAAAACATGTTGAAAAGCAACATGCAATTTTAGCGAATTGTGGTAAAATGAAATGTTGATTTAGCGAATTTCTCTTGCAATTGTTGATTTCCTGTTTTCACAATGCTTGTCTGTCGCGCGCCAAAACAAATGCCTCCATAAAAACCTCCATAAAAACAATAAAAACTGCCAAGTGTAATTTGATTTTGTTCGCAATGATAAAAAAAATTACTACTAATTTTCGTAATAATATATCAGTATCACGTCATTTATTTATTTTCATTGAAATAATGACCACAATGAATACGTTTATTTTTTTGTGTTAATTTAATTTTCAATAAAGTGTATCTATCATGTCAGTACGTTTTCTTTATGTTGTTTACAAAGTGTGTGTGGAGAAAAAAGACATTGTTTGGCAGCCATTTTGAATTTATAATAAAGTCATCAGCGACATCTTGAATTAGCGAATCAGTTCTCTCGCTAAATTCGCTAAAAATACATGCTCGCGAAAAAGACATGTTTTACAGTATTCTATGCTGAGAATCACACACAGTTGTTTTCTCATACAAACCTGATTGACAGCATCAATAATCACAATTGTAGGTCGTGTTTTAGCGTTAGACAAAGCACTAGCCGCCATCTGACATGTAGATTCCAAATCTGTTGGCATGGTATTCTCCTAAGATATTAAACATAGAAGACTATGTCAAACAAAAATATAATCTCTTTACTGTCATTGCCATAATGTTTTGCACACATCAATAATGCCAGCAAAGAGTGTTTGTTGTGTGCATGCTTTAAGATTCTATACCTGTATAGTAACGAGTTGTTCAAACTATTTTAATGAGGGTGGACCATTCAGGTTTAAGTACAGACACTGTAAAACATTTGAGATATACTGGTAATAAAGTGTTTCTAGTCTTGAAATGGGTAACTTTAATTCATATCGCATGATCTTTCGGAATGAACAAGGTTATACATCACATGGCTTATAATTATATTGATAACACAATAAAATGACATGTGAGACTGAGTCAGTACATAAATTCTTTTAAATTGTTTGTTTTACTTTTGCCACAAAGTATTTTATATGAATAAATAAAATAAATTGAAAATAAAATGTATCAGTCATTGAGATTTGTTTGTTGATTTGACCAATTCAATTTCAATTGAGTCATGCACATAAAAACAGTCAGCATATGATAACTGACATTTTTTGTTGTTGTTGTTGTTGTTGTTGTGCATGAAACAACATAACAGTGAATTCATGAGAGATAAATTTGCCTCCATTCCTCAGAAATAAGTAAAGAAAAATGTTGTGACAACTTGATTGTGTTTCATACTACTCACTGTGACAGCATCTATCTCTCTCAATAATCTCTTGAGACACTTTTCCAAGTCAGTTGATCCGGGTAAGGCACCAACAAAATGATAAAACACATACCAACCAGCATCACCTCCACTGTGAATGCAGAAGAACTGATCAGGATATATGAATTCAAAAGTATTCAAAAGTAATGTGATGTAATGTAATGTAATGTAATGTAATGTAATGTAATAGAATAGAATAGAATGTAATAGAATGTAATAGAATGTTATAGAATAGAATATAATAGAATAGAATAGAATAGAATAGAATAGAATAGAATAGAATAGAATAGAATAGAATAGAATAGAATAGAATAGAATAGAATAGAATAGAATAGAATAGAATAGAATAATGCTTTATTACATCCTTAATGAAATCTGACATTTCAGTTTCGGTAATTGCTGTAAAGGGGTTAATTATTCACTGGGTTTTAATTTTGCTTATTTCGCTGACTGGAAAATGCGCTAAATTAAAACCCAGTGAATATGTGCAATTTAGCATAGAACACATTATCTAAATGATAAAACCGTGAATTCAAAACCCAATGAATATGCCTGAAATGGTAAATTGGCGAAATTTAAACCCAGCGAAAATTAGTCATTTTACAGTAGGACAGAATGGAATTCTATAGGAGTCATCAGCACATGGAACTAACCCTGGTATATCTTTCTTGACTGCTCTGACACATGCTACTTCTGCTGTCATAGCCATAATAGATGATTTACCAACACCAGGACCCCCTAGTAAAATGAATGGTTTATGTTCAGCAACCCCAACGACATAGTCTTCTATTTTTTGTAGAATATCATCCCTTCCGAGAACCATCTGTGCACGACTCTTCATAAATGACTAAAATGGAATAAAACAATCAGTCTGATTTGCCAAAATGCATTTTGTGATGAGTAATGAGTAATACAAAAGTAACTTGATTTAAGAAACAAGTTTCTCCATACCACAAAGGTCATTAGAACAATTGACAAACCTGATATTGAAAACGCGTCAGAAGGTGTTCATTGCAAACCTACAAATACTTTACATTTAATTTAAATAAGAATTTAGGTCAAGAGGAAGTAATCAAATTACTGATCAGAAAGTCTTGCATGTGATTATTATACATTGTATTTTAAAGTTAAAAACTTCATCACAATGAAATCTACTGAATTGCTGTGTGATGTTTGGCTATGCAAGACATGCATATCTTATAAATAATGTAATTGTTTATTTTTAAATATCAATGAATTCTGCAATTAATTACATCTAAGAAAAAAATACAAAACCACTGATTGTACAAAGTTAAAATGATGACATGACTTACCTCGTGTGCTTCCTTGGACTGCTGATATGAATCTAGTTTAGTGTCATCTAATGGGTACTGTTCATTGATTCTTGTCTTGAAAAAATTAAACACCTGAAAATACAAGAAACACATTTTAATTAAATTAATTGTATAATGTAGATTTGAACCATAAAATACATAAAAACCTTATGAATAAAGTGAGTTTAACAAGTACTATAATTTTCCCACCAACCCATCTTAACCAGTTGACACTTTCAAACTCATGTTATGAACACATTTCAAAAATTACAACAATGTAACAAAAATTGTGATCGAAAACATGATTTTAAAGATAGTTGCTAGACCTGTGCAGAATTTAGTACTGTGCATAAACAACCAGTTGAAGTGGCCATCCAATAATTACCAGGTATAAAATGTTGTCATGTTCGAATCTGATTTTGAAATGAAAGTTTGTAATGCAAACTTACTGTATTAGCAAATGTACCATCCAAACCTTTGAATCGTACAATACCATCATCTGTTACACCATCATACTGACAGTTGTACCATTTCACTCTTGTTCCCTGCAAATAATATATATATATGATGAATCAATCAATAATTTTGTTATGAATTAAACAAACAAGCAATTAATTAATTATCAAGCAATTGTGATTTCTGTACCATAATCTCAAGAGCCACATCAGTTCATGTTGTTTATTAATGTGACATGTGACATATGATATGATAGAAGCTATACAATTGGATATGATCTGGTTTTCTCTAAGCCATGCACCAAGTTGCTTAGCAACATCACTAACCTGCTCAGTGACATCAAGATGCTCAGTGACATTATTAAGCTGCTCAGTGACATCACTAAGCTGCTCAGTGACATCACTAAGATGCTCAGTGACATTATTAAGCTGCTCAGTGACATCATCAAGCTGCTCAGTGACATCACTAAGCTGCTCAGTGACATCACTAAGATGCTCAGTGACATCACTAAGTTACTCAGTGACATCACTAAGATGCTCAGTGACATCATCAAGCTACTCAGTGACATCACTGAGATGCTCAGTGACATTCGAGAGCTACTCAGTGACATCATCAACTGATCAGTGACATCATCAAGCTACTCAGTGACATCACTAAGATGCTCAGTGACATCAAGATGCTCAGTGACATTATTAAGCTGCTCAGTGACATCACTAAGCTGCTCAATGACATCACTAAGAGGCTCAGTGACATTATTAAGCTGCTCAGTGACATCATCAAGCTGCTCAGTGACATCACTAAGCTGCTCAGTGACATCACTAAGATGCTCAGTGACATCACTAAGTTACTCAGTGACATCACTAAGATGCTCAGTGACATCATCAAGCTACTCAGTGACATCACTGAGATGCTCAGTGACATTCGCAAGCTACTCAGTGACATCATCAACTGATCAGTGACATCATCAAGCTACTCAGTGACATCACTAAGATGCTCAGTGACATCACTAAGATGCTCAGTCACATCATCAAGCTACTCAGTGACATCAATAACATGCTCAGTGACATCACTAAGATGCTCAGTGACATTCACAAGCTACTCAGTGACATCATCAACTGATCAGTGACATCACTAAGATGCTCAGTGACATCACTAAGATGCTCAGTGACATCATCAAGCTACTCAGTGACATCAATAAGATGCTCAGTGACATCAATAAGATGCTCAGTGACATTATTAAGCTGCTCAGTGACATCATCAAGCTGCTCAGTGACATCACTAAGCTGCTCAGTGACATCACTAAGATGCTCAGTGACATCACTAAGTTACTCAGTGACATCACTAAGATGTTCAGTGACATCATCAAGCTACTCAGTGACATCACTGAGATGCTCAGTGACATTCGCAAGCTACTCAGTGACATCATCAACTGATCAGTGACATCATCAAGCTACTCAGTGACATCACTAAGATGCTCAGTGACATCACTAAGATGCTCAGTGACATCATCAAGCTACTAAGTGACATCAATAAGATGCTCAGTGACATCACTAAGATGCTCAGTGACATTCGCAAGCTACTCAGTGACATCATCAACTGATCAGTGACATCACTAAGATGCTCAGTGACATCACTAAGATGCTCAGTGACATCACTAAGATGCTCAGTGACATCATCAAGCTACTCAGTGACATCAATAAGATGCTCAGTGACATCAATAAGATGCTCAGTGACATCACTAAGATGCTCAGTGACATCATCAAGCTACTCAGTGACATCACTAAGATGCTCAGTGACATCACTAAGATGCTCAGTGACATCATCGAGCTGCTCACAAGGTTTTTTCCCTAATGTTAGATTTGTTCACAATGGTTGCTGTGATGTAATGTAATGTAATGTAATGTATGCTATACTTACAAGTCTCTGTTTCAACATATCTTTCAGAATTTTCAATTTTTGTTCTGCTAAAGGATTTGGATCTAGGAAATCCTTTCTGTAGTCTTCTGGAACACTTTGTATAAATGCTGACTTACGGATCATGAACAGTGCTATCATGGTTCAAATGGAATTAAAGCAATATGCTAAGTATAGACATTGTAGTACTCATACATGGATAAACCCACAAGACAGTTTAATTTTTCTTTTCAGGTATGAAAAATTAATATTTGGATTTTAAATGGATGTATTGCTATTATATAATGTAGTTTAAATTCTCATTTATTTTTATTATTGAAACTGATATCAACCACAAAAACTACACTACAGAGAAACTGAGTAATAAAGTGAATACGAATATTATCGTATACAAGAAAAGTGTTTTAATAGTTTACAAGTTAATAAGTTTTCATATGTTTGGTTTATAAGTGTTTTATAAAAATATGTCTAAAAACTAAGAATAATAAAAGTGTTTACAGAAGATGTTCATGTATAATACAACAAGCAGCCTCTCAGCTGAGATAGCTCCACTGTTAGCAATGTACATTTCAATTTAGAGAATTGAAGATATCACAAAATGAACAAATCTGAGATCAGTTCACATGAGGTACCTGTATGTATAATATCAGAGCCATCAAACTTGCAGTTTTTAACAAGAAGTCGAAAATATCACTTTTTACCACAAAAAAAAGACAAAAATATTCATTAAAATTAGAGAATTGAAGATGTCATCTCGAAATTAACAAACTTGAAAGAGATCTACCTGAGGTACCTATATATATAGTATCAAAGCAATCAGACTTGTGTTTTTTAACAAAAACTCGAAAATATTACTTTTTAGCAAAAATTACAAAAATATTCATCAAAATTAGAGAATTGAAGATATCATCATGAAATGAACAAATCTAAGAGAGGTCTGTCCAAGGTACATGTACATATACACCAAGTACCAAAACAATAAGAATTGTAATTTTCAAGAAGAAGTTGAATATGTAAAAAGATGCCACAGTCGACGGGCGCCGAAGGACAATCACTCATATGATAAGAAGCTCCATTCGACAAAGTCAACAGCGGAGCTAAAAAGTGAAAATTACTCATAGATTTTCCAAAATTGTTATACCATACATGTATGTTGTTTTCACATTGTGACTATACAATGGTTAGTGATAAGCAAAGATTGAAAAGTAATAAGCAAACTTTGTAACATTTCATACTCACAGTTTGGGTTATCAATGCGATAAGCTCCATGCATGATTTCCATTTCTGTCACTGAAAGTCCTCGTATCCATTTGTACTCTGACACCAATGCTCGAGGTACTTCAAAATTAGTAGGAATCCAACCACATCTCTCACTGGCAATTACAAATTAAAAACATATTTTAAACATTGGAAAAATAAATTTGAATTAAAATCAAAATATCTCAATTTGAAATACTTTCATATACTAATTTATTAAAATAATAAGACGATATTAATAGCTCATTTAAAATTGCATTTCCACTTTGTGAATCTGTGAGGTACTATCAGCTGAACAATTTATTTTTATTTAACACTTCATACACAAACCATAACAAGTTGAGAATATGAATTTATGCAAGCATATATGTATATTATGTTCCTTCTGCCACAAAATCTAGATCAATCAAAAATCAGAAAGACATAACTGACTGTAGTTATTTTTATTAATATTTATATTATATATTTACTATGATTTAATATATTGCAACAAATGAAATCTTCTCATTAAAAAATATATTATCCAAATACTATAATTCATCCATGAGTAAACATCATATTTTACATTCTATGACCTATAACCTCTTTGTTGCTTGGCAACCCAATGTATACATAATGTTTACTTTCATTGTCTGTATGTATTCAATAGTTTCATTGTTGCTCAAGGTCAAATAACCCTAACACTGAAATAACCTTTAGTTATAAGAACATAGGACAGCAGAGGACAGTGACAGTGACCTTGTTTATATAAATGACCTAGTATACAAATTGGAAAAGACCACATTTATATAAAGACCACCTGTCTAATGCAATCAGTGCTTTTTTACCATCTGCAGTTTGGTCATATGAGCCAGTGTAGATTGACAAAAATTATTATTATAATTATTATACCTGCTGAAAAACTGACCTTTAAACTGGGAAATTATTGTTATATTTTTATTCATTTATTATTATTATTACTATTAATATTATTAAACCTGCTGAAAAAATGCCCTTTAAACTGGGAAATTATTGTTATATTTTTATTCATTTATTATTATTCTTACTATTAATATTATTAAACCTGCTGAAAAAATGACCTTTAAACTGGGAAATTATTGTTATATTTTTATTCATTTATTATTATTATTACTATTAATATTATTAAACCTGCTGAAAAAATGACCTTTAAACTGGGAAATTATTGTTATATTTTTATTCATTTATTATTATTATTACTATTAATATTATTAAACCTGCTGAAAAAATGACCTTTAAACTGGGAAATTATTGTTATATTTTTATTAATATTATTAAACCTGCTGAAAAAATGACCTTTAAACTGGGAAATTATTGTTATATTTTTATTCATTTATTATTATTATTACTATTAATACTATTATATCTGCTGAAAAACTGCATTTTAAACTGAGAAGTTATTGTTATATTTTTTTTCACTGATTAATTAATTAAACAACTTTTTAGCTTGTCTGTGACCATTGACTCTTTACTGTAGAAGCCATAACAGTAACATCAGTTGTCTCTAAAAACTATTTAAGCTAGAAGCCTACTCATGATTTCAGATACCCAGAATTTATTCATTTTTTAATAAATTGTACCTTTGGCAAAATAAGAACATTGACTTAAAAAAGTTGGGGGTCACCAGGTTAAATTTCGAGAAAATCAAGGTTGTATTTTAGTGGATAGTGGCCATTTTGGCAGTATTACAGTGCTTTTAACATAAGTTCCTATGGCAGAGATATTATGCCATATCTCAAATTGTAGGCTGGTGACATAAGCTGAACAAATAAAATATTGTTAATGATGGCGTACTTTTAGTTTTCCTTTATTTTTTAAAAAATCTGGGTTTTAAAGAGTGTCGAAAAATGCAATTTTTGTTTAACATTCTACTCTACTGAATAGCAATTTTTGAAAAATATTAATACAAGTTTCTCAAAATACGACACTGTAACACACAAAAGAATGCTAGTAAATATGCCATACCAATATTTATATCTAAGAGAATACAAAAAACGACAAAAATATTCAGCAAAATTGAAGACATCATCACAAATTGAACAACTCTGAGAGAGGTCTAAAAGAGGTTATACATAAACAAAATCAAAGCAATCAGACTTGCGGTTTTAAAGAAGAAGTCAAAAATGTAAAAAGACATATATGATAAGTGATTTAATGTACAATGTCAGTCAATAGCAGAGCAAAAATTATGCACACAACGCAAACCATTATGAGAAATGACATGCATAAAATCATCAGTGAGAGGCAGAAAGAGAGAGACCAAGATGTCAACTTTTTTGAAATTTTATCCAGGCCCTTGGTAAGTTGTTATCATGTAATCTTTGAAATTCGCTTGACATAAGTGGAATTCTATAGATGGCGCCCTCTGGAGGCTTGGTTGCAGCCATTGTTTTTTACTTACAATAGGTGATTTACCGTTCAACTGCAAGATCTCGCGAGATGCATGAAGGACGCGCGTTGAATGTCTGCTGCAAAAATCAAAACGATTTGATTTTGAACTCGAATTTCTTTATTTCATAGCTCATATTGACCGGCCGATCTTCGACAGAGGAATATTGCTTCTGAATACCTTCATTTAATCAAAATTGTCTATCATCAAATGTGTATAGCACATTATTAAGCATGGAAATGCCCCCCCCCCCCCAAATATTTTCGCGTTTGTTGAATCCCACGCGATGTTTGATGCCACTACGACGCTATGACCTTTGTTTGTCCTGTTTTTACGTTCGATTTCATGCATAATGCCTGATTCTCGCAGTGAATGGAAAATGGTCTATTGATTTAATGTACAATGTTGGTATATAGGTATATGCTATGCTTTCAGTGTCCACATTTTGGCAATGACGCTTGTGAATTGACTGAGATTTCAAAAAAAATATAAAAAAAAAAGAAATTCGTAAAAGCTTCTGTAGCTTTAATGGTTTGAACACCAAATTCAGATGTACTAGAACTAGCCCACAATTTAGTTAAATGCTGTCAAAGTGACGCTATAATCATAAGTTCAAAAACTATTTGTTATGTTTAATTTGTTGTTCAATAAACTGGCTGCAATTCATGTTCAAAGACCAGTGTTGCTGTATGCAAATGATAGAGCATGCTAAAACATGTAAGTCGCATACATACGAATAACAATTTTCATGTTAGTTTCTGTTGGCAAAAGAGGTAGAAATTTGTGACCAGGCAATATCATATTTATTAAACATGTTTAGTAAAAAACATATTACTTATATTACAAATTTTGATAACTTACACGGCCACTAATGAGATATCCACTTTTTATATATCATATGTATAAAAAAATTTTAATTACCCAGTTAAATTGAGGAAAAAGGGCATAATATTATCAGCATAACATCGGTCTATTTCACCAAGACATATCCTCAAGGTTTCCTCTGTTGTGGTGTCTTTAGGAACTCCCTGGTAATGAGAATAATAAATTATATATTAAAAAAAGCAATATTATAGTAGCAATGAATGAATGAGTGAGTGAGTAAGTGAGCGAACGAACGAACGAACGAAAAAACAAATAAACTCACCCATCTGAGATCACATTCTACGAGATGCAATCTTCTTTTTTCACACCATGCCTTAAGATCTGGAAAAACCTACAAAACAAAACAATTACTGAGTAGGATTCCATGGATAGTTACAACTAATACATTTAACTGTAAAAATCCCCTTTGAGGCGATGTTGTGACACGATTTCATCACTGAGCAAAATTTTGAGATATGAAGGAATATAATCTGACCACAGTGTAAAAATGACACTTTGAACAATTTTCTATGACATTTCAAAATCTTGTATCTGATAAAATACTTTGGTGACCTACAATTTTTGTTTTTATATTCTGATGGCATGAACACCATTATATTGAAAGACAAACATGACATAACAGGTTTTAAACTCTTTACAAAATTTCACCTTTGAAGAATTCAAATATGATAATACACAAAATGAAATAAATTAAACAATATACAACCAATTCAAAAACAATTTTTGATGTACACATTGTAATATTTACACATTTTATGATTTCTTGGACACTATCCAAATAATTTCCTAATTATTATAACAATCATGATTTTTGAATACATACATGGGAAAATTTATGCAGGGTTACTTTGTGAAAGGTTTGAAGTTCACAGCCATACAGCATATAATTAAATTTTATGTAAATAAACCTCTTACATGGAAGACATTACTATCATGCTGTACATGTATATTGGAAGAAACCAACTTATACCTGTTTAATCAATATTTCTCTTTCTGCATAGAAATCACGGAAAGTGGAAGATACAAAGATTCTGACTGTTTTCCACCCGGATCGTTTTATGACTGGATTTTCTTTGACTGATCTCTTTTTCACTGTGACTGACTTGGATACTTCGTCCCATGACTGCATAACTGTGTAGTGGTAATCATGTGAAGAACCACAACCCATATTTCAACAACAGTGCCCTATAAACAATGGAAAACATTGTGATGGGGCTATTGATTGAAGTTTGTATGCAACTACACTGTAGGAGCCACCCAACTTTAATCAAACTGTGACGCAGTCAGATTGGTCAAGTATTATAACAGCCATTTTGAATTTAGAAAAAATATAATTTAAAATTTGTTTATAAAATATATATGCGTCATTGTCTTTGAGTGGTGTACTCTTTGAGTTTATGAATATTTATGAACATCTAGAAATGGGTTTGTTGTGTCAACAGTAAAAACATGACACAGTATGATTTGTTATTCTCACTGTTCTCGTAAGTATAAAATGGTGACGCTCAACATGAATACCAGCAATGATATTTCACACAAATGTCACAACTGTCAATAATAAGACCACAGTAATTCTAATTTCTTTTTCAAGAAGCCATGACATGTACTGATTAATACAGTCAAACTCGGCAAGATTCAAAATCTGCCAGATCATAACAGTCAAACTCGGCCAGATGGAATCGCTGTGGTGTGAAGTGTTTGAGGAATGATAGAACCAGGGTAACGGATCAACAAGTATCATCCTCTTTCATGTTTGTTTCATTTGTTTTACATAGTGTCATTTCATTTTCAGGTACCACTTCACTATATTGTTTTTTTAATTTCAATAACTGGCATGATCGCTTCGTGTTGATTTCAATGACGAATGTTTTTTTTAAAAAAACAAACAAACAAAAAAACAGACATCGTGTCGGCGAATGAACTGTGTTTCAATTTGTTAGAAATTGTTACATCGATTCTGTGTCACTGAAATCAACAATCTTTGCCGTACATGTATCGTACAGTAGTTTATTTTACTACGGTAAAATAATATGATATGACTCAGGGTCGTCTGTAATAATAATAATAATAAAAATAATAACAAATGTTATTGCATCCTTGAAATAAATTTTCATCAGTTAAGAGCAATAACAACGAAATACATGAAAAAAATGAAAAATGCACAAAAGAAAAAAAGTACTGTAAAACATCGACTACAAATAAAATGATGATCTGATAGAAAATGTAACATTAACCCCCCCCCCCCCCGCCATTCACCGCCTGACCTACTGGCCATCTTCAACTGCTAACCGAGTTCTACCATTAGCCGAGTTCTACCACTGGCAGAGTTCGCTCGTAACCGCACTGATTTTATGTCACCTCACGTTTAATAAACATGTGTGCGTTTTTATCTGTTAATGACAACTGTTCAGAAGAAATTTCACATGTATTATCTGTACCGATCATTTGTGTGAAAGGTAAGCTTGTTTGTTTGTATGTATGTGTGTGTGTTTACGGTGGTATGCAGGTACACACCCGGGGTGTACACATAAAGCAGCTGATCTGACACCGCGTTTTTTTTGTCGCCATGTCAACCAGCTGGAATTATTAAATACAGCTACTCGCAAATAAAGGATTGTAAGGAGAATGACTCTCTGATTACGTATCGATGTTAACATATGAAACCCGAGACAAGTAAATGAGAAATAACTCACCTGAAGTCACCCCCAAATTAAACGTGAAGAAGTGAAACTAAAATGACACTAAATAGAGGAAAGAAATAATCAACACACGTACATCGAAAATACTTCCGGCTGTCTTCCGGGTTTTGTGAGTGTCACGTGCACGTGCAGTCTGCTGTTTTGTGGCGATTTCATGATGATTTGACGGTACTCGTTTTTTTTAATGTGGAAATAAGTCATAATGGAATAACTGTCTTAAAAGGTAAATATTCTGCCAGCATGTTAAAATAGATGATGGTGAGACACAAGTTTTGGGGGAGGGTAGTATGGGTAGAGGTTTGTGCCGGAATATGGAGGTGTTAGTTTTGATTCGATTTTTTTCGGTGCAGAGAAGTCCCATTGTAAATATCACCCCCTAAAACAGAGCCATGTATGCAGGGCTAGGGTGAGCGTTACAGAAACCTCACCCATGGGGCATGAGACCTCACCACAAATCTAAATGGTCTACTCCTTATTTACTGTGCAAATTGTAAATATAATCATTAACAATAACGTTGCCATAGATAAGTATAAAAGTATGAATCATTTTCGTAATAATGATAATTATTATAAATTTGTCACTGTAAAGCCATAAGTTACAACGTGCTATAATTTTGCGGTATTCATCCTAAATGTACCATATTAGGAAATGCGATTATGTGTGTAAGTGTCCTTTAATAATAAAAACAAACATGGCTGCCACCAGGGTTTGACCGGACTCCACACAAATATTCACTGATTCTGTTCTAAACTTTTTGGATTTTGGCATTCCCATGATGTATCATTCGGAGGAAAAGATGTTTAATAATAAGGTTATTACGAGGATACTGCAAAGTATGCACTCAGACAGTATGCTGTCGCATCAACCTCTGCCGTAAAAACCTCATATATATTTAACATGCACACATAAATGCTAATAATTTTAATTTGGTCGTATGTTTTTTTTACACAAGACTATTAAATTTTGTCTGTCTGTGTTGTAAATAACATTATAATGACTTCACACACTTTGGGTTGACAGACGTATTATGCTATCACAGTCACTTTATTATTAAGTGTGATGCTATGTACTGTGCTAGTCATTAGTCTCACCTGTTCCAAACATTAAAATCAAAAATGTATTTCATAAATTAAAAATTCATTAAACATCAAACACTTATAATATTATGTTTTTGATTTAAACTTCTCAATGCATGTACGTGTATTTTATCTTGGTAGGTCATCATGTCAACTAGGCGTATTATAAGTCCCGGTTCAACGGTTGGTCGGCTCTTTAGAGAGTCATTCACATTTGGACATAAAGAAACAACATATTGGTTTCCTTCACATATGGCTAGAGGTAAGAAATAAACCATAAGTATAAACGATTATGTGAATGTAAAATACCACATTCAAATTTTATGAAAATGAAAACATCACATGGGCCCCACATTGAGCTTGCCATATTGTGATGACTAGCGCTTCTATCTTGGTTTCAGACTGATGCTGATTCATTTTGTACTCAGAGTGCCTGACTGTAGTATGACATTTCCAGTAATTGACTGTGGTACCACATTTCAAGTAACTGAATGTAGTGCGACATTTTCAGATAAATCTGTTGTAAATATATACCAATAGAAGACAGGTTACGTTCCAATTGTAATGGAGTTGAAGATGAGAAGCATCATTTAATACATTGTAAATAATATACAAATCAAATGTAGACAATGTTTTACAACAGTTTAAATGCAAATTTCATGAATATAGATAAAAGAGAACAAGTGCATGACTCAGGTAGTTTTGATTCAATGCCTTTATTCGGGAGAGTCTGATCTGACATCCTCTCCTCATCCTAGCAAAAATCTTGAAATCATTGTTTTTGCTTTCAAAATATTATTTGTTGACAGTTTATACCCAAAAAACTGTTTTACTGTCACAATTTGGGAGGGTTGAAATCTATGATGTAAATCCATAAATATTGTGACTTTTATTAGGGTTTGTGAAGTTCTTTGTAATACTCATAAAACTTGGATGTTGTGGGTCGAAAATATGGTTATTAGACTACTGGTATATCTGGAGATGTGTATGAACATAAAATCATGTTGTTTTGGAAACTTATCTTGTTGTAAAGGAATAAATCTAAAAATTTTTTTTTTTTTTTTGGCTAGAGTTTTATAATATTTGCATATTACATTGTATATATATTTACTAAGTTTGTTCCATATTATTTCCTCTAATTGGCAAAATATATACAAATGATTCTGTATTTTAAAAAATGCTGAAATACATTAGTATTTCGTTGAAGTATTAAAATGTAACCTCAGCAACTTGTAATTTCAAGATTACTGATGCATTTACTATGTGTTTATTTCAGGCATGAAGAAGATGCAGGCTATGCTCAGAAAAATGGACTGTGTTTTAGAAGTACACGATGCAAGAATATCCTTTTTCTATATTATTGTTATGTTGCCAGAAATTTGTTAGATTTGATAACTGGGGTTCATAGTTCACTTGAGGTCAGGTTCACTTAGAGTTGAAGTTCACTTGGGGTTGTAGTTCATCCTCGGCTACAAAATTACCATTTTTTTTGACAGCTTGTGACAAGCAGTGCCAAAATATGTCTTGTTGTGAAATAAAATATTCAGTGAATCATGTGCCATGCCAATGCTTTTCAAGTTTTGAACTAAAAAATAAATATAAACTACTGAAGCTGAAGTTGCATGTAATGTTGGCTGACAGTGATCTAACACTGGTTTATTGTAGCAAAGTAGTGCAGATTATTATGTATGTTTGTTTGTTATCTCTTTTCTCTTCTATATGTTGAATGTCTTTGACTGTAAGGTAGCGTATATCACAAATTCAAAACATTCAGTGATCCATAAAGTTATCAGTCCTGTCATAGCACAGTTATTATATCCAGTGATAAAATATCAACTAAAATTCTGATTATTATTTTTCTTGACTTTTATGTATCACATTCCTTTGACGGGTCGTAATCCAATGTTTAAAAAGTTACTTGGTGTTAAGCCACATCTACTGGTTCTCAATAAAATGGATTTGATAGATTTGTCTAAAAGAAACGTAAGAACACAAACTTAAATATTACTTCGTGCAACAACATTGACAGAGTATGGAAATAATATGAATAATAAATAAATTCTTATTTTCATCTTGCACATATTTATTCTAACTTATAATAATTTATTCTGAAGGAAATAAAAAGCAAACTTGCGGAGCAAGGAGTTGACAATGTTTTATTTACAAATTGCAATAAACAAGAAAGTAGAACAATTAAACATGTGAGTATGTGTAATGATTGCATCAGTTCTTGTCTTGTTTGCATATTAATCTGTCTGAATGATTCTTTTCTGAAACCATTGGTTGGATACTACCAATTCTTCGTCGAGCAGAAATAATCATATTCCTGATTGTCCATCGGCATCGACTTCAGACTTTGTCTTAAAACCCGATCATCCAATTGCTTTATTTTTGTATATGTAGGTACCTCATGTGAACTCGTCAGGATTTGTTCAGATTGCTTGTGAAATTTGCATTTCTAACACTGGAGTTACCGGTAAAAATGATTTAAGTTGAATATGATTTAATAGGAGATAATGTTTTTTTTTGGAAGGTTGTAAAACATGTTACTGAGATGATTGAAGAAAGTGAACGATATCAGCGAAGTGAGGAAGAAAATTACAACCTGATGGTCGTTGGTATTCCCAACGTTGGTAAGTCATCGGTTATTAACGCAATGAGAAGAATGCATCTCAAAAAAGGTAAGTAACATTTCGTCATTGGTAAATTGTGAAAACTGGTGACTGTCATAGTTTTACTATGTCTACCCGTAAAATCACATAATAACATAGTTTGATTGCTATAAGCACCAATAAAAGGGTAATTCAGCAAAATAACCTTGAAACTTTAAACTGTTTTATCTGCACTGATCACCTTCTATATATGTCAAATCAAATACTCAGTGGAATCAGTGTTTAAAATTTGGCATAATGTATTACGAGTCAACAGGACAGGTAACTTTAAAAACTTGCAAGCCCTGCTAACAATTTACCAGCCCTGTTTATGTTTTAAATATTTTATTTATTTTCAATCATTTCACTACAATTTATTCAATCATTGTCTCTGCAGTGACTTTCATTCAAGTCAGAAAAATCTAATTCATTAAGACCGAGCATCTACATCAGGCAATCTAGTAAAATTTGAGGCCTCCTCCTCCTGTGCCACTTGTGTTGCTGCCGTCCGCTCTTCTGCTGCCTCATCTCGCTATTGTATAATGTTTAAAGTTTTCTTCCTCTTGCCTTCTATAAATTGAGGCTTTCTATGATGATGTTTATTTCATTGATGAATTGAATGTCAACTCCAGCTCTGAAAAGTTTGGATCAACTGGAACTCACGGATATTGAGAGTTCACTGAAATCATGCATAGCCTGAGCATTCACTAAATCACACTTAGTCTGGGAGTTCGCTAAATCATGCATCTTTCATGGATTGTTGTTGTTTATACCTGTTTTACATGTTGATGTACTACGTCATACATCCATAGACATTTTGTGATATTTTCTCAAAAAGTCTACCCGACCACAGAGCTAGTAATATGAGATTTTCACCACCCCGACTGAATACCGGGCGGGCAGTAATATCAAGCACTGGTGAAATATTGAGTAGATTTGTAAACATTATATGAACTGACATGTGGTATTTATAATTTCAAGTCTTGTATGTTCTGTTTATTACAGGAAAAGCTACTAGAGTTGGAGCAATTCCAGGCATTACAAGGGGTGTACTCAAAGATATACAAGTAAGAATGACTTTGATGGCACGTTACCATGTAGTGTAATTAGTAAACATCGTGTATGTACATTATTGCACTATATAGTGTGTACTTATTACATGTATGTTACTTACTATATAGTATAACAAATATGTACCACTTCATATATACCATGTAGTATAAATACACCACATTAAATACACCCTGTAGTGTAACTAGTATACACACCATAAACACTATATAGTATAATATACATCACTTCATATATACCATGTAGTATAAATACGCCA